GCTTGCGAACTCCCATTCCCGTTAGGAAACCCTAGACTAGCGCCTTTAACCTCTTGAAAAACAACCTCGCTTGTTACTTGCTTTTTAAGTTATTTCTTTTACTTTAAAACCCCCATATTGTTTTAGCTATATTTTGATCCTATAAAGATAAAGTGTAGACTGGTCCTCTGGAATTGAATCTAAACATATTACAACTACATTGTTAACTTGACAGTAGACAAAGATCCAATTTTATTGTATCATTCCTTCTATCTTCTTATTTTTGAAAGGCATTCTCTTTCTGTCGTCGATCATGACATCGAGGAAAACAAGTTCCCGTGATTCCGAAAGAATTCGTAATCGGAACAATGGAGCGGGGCGGATTCATCTGGTGATTTGAGTGAAGCACTCACCAAGGTCCTTTGTGAGGAGCCTCGACTTTCTCATGTAGCGGCTCGATCCAAAGCCAAGGATTTGGACGAACCGAAGATTGCAACTCTTTTGAGTTTGGTAGTCAAAATAGCTCAGAGGGACGCGATCGTCCTCCGAAGAAAGCAAAGATTATGGGGAACGATGCTCGATCTGGCCCCGCGAATGAAGGCGCGGTCGCGAAGCCGTTTCACTGGTAGTTTTCTCATGCCAATGATTATCCGATCACGGATGATCCCGACAGTGTCACTCACTTGGTCAAGCACTTCAAGCCGGCGGGGTGTACCCTTCCTTCGCTGCGTAACATGACTGAGCGCGAAGCCTATGTAAAAATGGCGGTTGCACATGCTAAGGTTGATTGGACTGGTCTTCTGATCTTTGATACTTACTTTATTGTTGTGCATTTCCCTGATGTATTTTTAGGCTATGGAAGCTAATAACGAGTTCGCGGCGACTTTGGAAAAGCGTTTGCGAGATATTCCCCGAGCTGAAAAACTCTACGAGGTTAAGAAGGTCGTTCGAGAGTTGAAGCTTAGTTTGAAGACGGCCCAGGACCGGGAACATACTAGTGTCGCTCAATTGATAGTAGCTGAAAGGTTGGGAAACAAGACTGCTTCTCTTGAGGCTCGTCTTCGGGTTGTCGGGAATAAATGGAAATCGGCTCTAGAGCATGTTGCTGTGCTGGAAATGCAGATCGAATCTCCGACCACGAGTCACGCGGATGAACTTTGTTGTGTGACTTATGACGCTAAGAAGACTTTAGTCGACGGCTATCTGGACGTTTTGATGTCTTTGAAGAAGAAGTGGGAGAACAAGAAGGCTGCAACAGATTGTGAGATTCGTTTGAAGGAGGTCATGACTAACATCAAATTTATTAAAAAAATAAGGAACAACAATCTGCTCGCTTCTGACGAGTTATCGCGTCATCAAGCTAAGGAGGTTGAATTAGGAGCCGAACTCGATGTGGCTGCGGTGTCGGATTTTTTGGTTGGGAAGCTGGACCTTCCTTTGATTTCTGAGAATTTATTCGAGGATTTCTTCTCTAAGGTTCCTCCTGGTGGAGTGAGTCTGTTGGCGAGCAGGGGCGTAATAGGTATCGCTACGAAGATGGTGAGTTTGATGCCGATGATTAATTTTATCTTTTTGTATTCTTTTTTTTTTTGTTTCTT